ATGAACAACGGCCAGAATGTGAACTGGACATCCTCGTTATGTACGACTTCCTCTCCTCTGAAACATGAAGCAGACTTGATGTCTGCAGCTGCTAGAAGACCAACAGCGGCTTCCTGCTGATACGCAGACTGGACATTTAGGAGTCTGGTGGCCTCTGAGTTCTGAACACAGGGTTGCACATGAATGACGAAGAACCTTCTCGCTGTGCATCATGTTTAATTCATCATTTCTAAGCAGGTCTATCAGCTAACTGCTGCTCCAACCACCTCTTATCTGGTCACCTGTGTGTTTCACTCCTCCAGCCCCGTCGCCACAGGGAAGCCTTTCTCGCTTCGCCATGGACCCAGTGGGCGCCGGCTACTTAGGCAGAACCATGAGGGCTCTGGTGGCCCACGAGCCAGCCAGCTCCCAGCCCACCTTGCTGGCCTTCAGCAGGGGCCAGATGGTGACGGTGCTGATCCAGCAGCCCAGGAACGGCTGGCTGTTTGGACGCAGCGACAGCAGCTCGCGGTGAGGCCGTCCTCGTGTGTGTTGTGATGTCCAGTACATGCATGTTGCTGTTCATGGTGCTGCTGGCAGCTCCGGATAGTTCTAGATGCAGAGCTGTGGGTTTTCTGTGAAGAGCATGTGGTGTGAAAGATGAGCTAAAATCTGAAAGACTGAACAGACAATAAGAAAATATGAGCTGAAAGAAGAAAGACAATATTACAAGTTTACAGGCTGAAGAAATAACGATGACATTAAAAATACCCTGATATGGAAAAGTCAGTGAGCTGACCCGAACCCGAACACACCAGTCACACGCAGAGGTTACCTGAAAATAAACAGGAAGGGGATAGAATGACATAATTAATGTCACACAGTCTGAACTAAACCCACCTAATAACTACTAATACACAATATAATATTTATTATTATTAATAAGATGAAGAACAATTAATAAAAAGAGGGGGAAAAAAAACACATTGAACCATATAGCTAAACATTTATATTATATATAATAATAAAGAATACACAGCATCTGATGGTAAATAAAGCTCGCTGAATGAAAAATAGAAATACATAAAATAAAAACAAGTAAATATGATATAAAATAAAAGAAGATCAACAGTGTGTGAGTAAAAGAAGAGGAGCTTCAGGAAGGTCACGTTTAGTGAAAGTGATCACATCGGTTTCTGCTTTGCTTTAAAAGTGCTTCACAACCTGGATTCTATATGGTATAGATCTACATAGATAGATAGATGGATAGATAGACTTCATTAATCTATCTATATCTATATGGTATATGTATATATTGAATGTGCTCCATAGTTTTAGGGCTCACAAACACAAATGCTGCATCTCTGATTTTCTTGCAGCTGTTTCTGGGAACCTTCAATAAACCAGCAGCACATGATGCTAATATATAATAATTAGGACTAAACAGGAGAATGAGCTCGTGGGATTATTGGACCTGGAGCTCCACTAACGGACTGGTACTGGTCCCGCCGCAGTCCCACAGCGAGCAGCTATAATCAACACTAACAGCACCACTCAGCAGTGCATTAATCTTTACAGCATCGTCTTCCTGATGTGTCCTTAAACATCTCACATGAGCATTAATCAGCTGCTGCTGCTTTGTTTGCAGGCAGGGATGGTTTCCAGCCTCCTACATGGAAGCAGCCGACGAGCCTCCGATGTCCCCCAGCCCCCGGTAGACACACTCCCATCACACTCCACTTGTTATGAAGCCACGTTAGAAAATGTGTTTTACTGTTGCTGAGTCAGACATCAAGACGAAGAGTTTACTTCAGACAGTAATCAAATGAGTGCCTCCATTAAGAAGGACGTGAGTCTAAACCTGTCACCATGTTTGCCTGTCCACCCTGATGCAGCAGACGCTGTCCCTGTTGTTTTAGGGTTTAAAAAAGAGGCTCAGCGTGAAAACTCAGGTCTGGAATAATGACATGAACTATTTAAGATATTTGGGTGACCCATCGCTGTGAGGAAGAGCTGCTCGACGTTCTCTGTCCGTGTGGACGCGCCACAGATAAACGTGTGCAGAACAGTCAGTTCATGGAGGCTAGAAATTCAAGACTAGAGCTTCATCTGCATGTCAGTCAGTGTTCTGGGGGTAAAAGTCAATGTCCTTCAAGTGAGGGCAGATATTTGACGTCTTCATCCAGCAGCACACACCAGCCTTTCACTTCCTTGTTGTGTTCCAGCACCTCCACTCTTCGAAGCAGCAGCAGCTCCAGCAGCCTGCAGGACCAGGCCGGGGGCGGCGGCCAGAACGCAGCCCCGCCTCCTCCACCTCCGCCGCCGCCGCCACAGTTTTCGTCTTCGAGTCGACACTCTGAGACGCGACCGACGCCAGCGGCTTCTGAAAAGAGGGCTGAGTCTAGATCAGAGCACAAGGTCAGCAGCTCCAGACACACCACGCTGTCTTCTGCAGACGTTTAAGACATTGTGAGCCCTCATGGCTTTGTTCCCACTGATGACCGATGCTTCACAGATCAGCTGCAGGTGTTATGTTAGTTTAAATCTAGTTATAGATGCTGCTGATCCGTTCATTCTCGTGTTTCGGGCCTTCTAAGCAGCTCCTGGCTACTAACAGGTGCTAAAACTGAATTTCTGAAGCTTGCAGCTCAGACGGGTTTATTTCCCAACAGAGCACTGGTTCATAATTCGTTAACCCTGAATGACACAAACGTAGACTAATTAAAAAGTGTAGCTCAGTTTGCTGGTTTTCAGTGTTCGGTACGACATCCCCTCACATGTCAGGACTGACCTGCTTCACTACAGACTGTGGAATTGGGCTCATATCTGATGATGATGTGGGAAACATGTGATGGATGTTTGCTATAGATGTGGCCGTCTGTCCAGCAGGGGCGCTGTGGCGACGTGCTGCTCTCCATGACGCCGCAGCCGTCTTTCTGGTGGACGCAGGGCGGCAGCTCCAGCTGCTGATGCTAGCAAAGAGGTGGTGTGCACGTGTGTGTGCATGTTGTGACTTTTTACAAGATTCTTCTCGATGCTAGACTCCAGACATGCCTGAAGTTCATGTGACCTTCTAAGCCTGGTCCGTAGGAGGCCTGTGTGCTGGCTGCCGTTTGCTCTTGGATGCTCCTCCATCACATCCATCAGTGATCTGAATAGTGTGATTGCTTCTGTCACCAGCGTGCAGAGACACTCTGACAGGCTTCAGATGATAAATGGCTCTCTGGTATCACACATGTACAGAAGGATTAATGTGCTAAACAGTGATGACTATGATATGCCGTACATTTAATTCACACTATCTTGTTTATTGTTCATCATGATAGAAAACTCCTCCCATCATGTGCATTCAGCTGAAGCCAACAAGCTTCCCTCTTGTGTTGTATTCACACAGTTTCCTGGGTGTCTCTGCACGCTTCCAGTGCTTCATAGTAAACTATGTGCTTCTGCAGTTTGTGTGAAGTGTGTGTAGTTCAGCAGCTTGTAGGAGGACTGACATGTTTCTACAGCGTGCTTCACATCCTAACAACACCTTCCTTCTCTACAGCAGAGGTTACCGTCACCACCTGGACGCCCGGAGCTCTTCCCCAGGTAAGAACAACGCAGCTTCAGCCTTTGCTTTGAGCAGCGGGCCGGTACAACATGGAGGCCACTCGTGTTCTGGTGCAGCAGCTCATGATGTATGTCTGAAGTATATCAGGGAGCCATTAAATGAGAGCGCAGCAGATGAGGCCGTGATCTAAACGGCACAGAACGCTCTCCTTCCATTAGAACAGGGGTGTCGACATCCGGTCCTCGAGGGCCGCAATCCTGCATGTTCTAGATGTTTCCTTCTTCCAACACACCTGATTCACATGATCAGCTCATCATCAAGCTCTGCAGAAGTCTGATAACGATCCTGATCGTTTGAATCAGGTGTGTTGGAAGAAGGAAACATCTAGAACATGCAGGATTGCGGCCCTCCAGGACCGGATGTCGACACCCCTGCATTAGAGCTTCAGGTGCGTGCTGCTGCTGAAGCCACCGGGTTGTGACCGTTTGGGAGCCGACTGTCGCTCTGACTTCAGGTGAACAGATGCTGGATGATGTTTGTGCAGCTGGAATGGCGTGCTGGTTGTCTAGCCTCATAACTCTGGACTGCAGGCTCCAGGACATCACTCTGGGCCAGAGCGCTGCCTGGTCCTGGTTTTCACCACTCTGTCTGTTTCTCTTCTTCCCTCTCTCTCGACCTTTTCTTTATTTTGAAGGGGCACCAATCCATTCGCTACAGTGAAGCTGAAGCCCACCGTCACCAACGACAAATCGGCCCCACGTCTGTATCGCAGATGACATCTCCAGCACCAAACCCTTCCCTTCATTCAGCCGCCCGCCTTGGCAGCAGGTTCGGTTGAAAGCTGAGGAAGTGGACCTTTAGTGGAGATAGTTTTGTCTTGTTCTTTTACTTCTGACAACACTGTCCGCCATGATACCCCTCAGAAGAGGACAGAGGAAGAAAGACGTCTAACAGTTTCAGATGTTTTGGGTTATTTATGCCTGTGAATAGTCATGCAATCCAAATGCTACCTTCAGGGAGTTTCTGCATTTTAATTGTTCTTAAAGGTGATGATTCTGCTTTATGTTCATGACTGAGGTCATAGTGGCTGCTGATACATATAAATATGCAGCAGTTTTTTCTATAATTCCCTCCTTGTCTGTGTCCAGTGTAGAGCTGTAGGAAGGTTCACTGTGATGCAGATACGTTCACCTAAAACAGGCCGACGTGTGCGTTGGTCCTTCCAGCTCCTAGATCATCCTGGAGCTCCAGTAGAAGAAAGCAGCTGAATCACTCATCAAATGAGCTTCAGTCATTGTTGTCTGTGATGTTGATGATTTGTTGGCTCTGACGTGTGATTGTCCTGTTCAAATGTGTATATAATGTACAGCTCATGTTTCGGGGAATCAGATGCATCTTGTGTTGTGTGGACGTTGATGATCGCTTGATGCCATGCGGCTGCTTGTAATGATCTTTTCTAATGTTTTTGTATTGCATCTGTCTACATGTGATTAAAGCCGCTGCTAAATAAATAATAAATGTGCTTTGTTCAAAATGATGGTGGAACCTCAGGCAGGTCATGTGATCCAGTAAAAAACAGGCTCATATGTGTGAGCTAATGTGACCTATTAAAGGATAATGTGATCTGGTCTTTATGTCGTTACTTTCATCTGTTCCAGCTGGTGGAGCTCCATGCAGCTCCTCCTTCTGTCCTCCTGCTGATTGGCATCAGCATGCTGTGGTTCATCAGAAACGTGCCTCTCCTCATAAATCCCCTCCAGTCCTCTCATGTGAGCGACACCGACCGTCTGTGGAGCTCGTCGATTAGCCTCCGAGCTTCAGATCTGTGTTTATTTGCTCAGGCAGTAAAACGTCCTACTAAAGAAGATCAAGATTCCCGCGTTGCCTGTTTGGGTCCTCCGCTGGGGATACTTAACCCAAATTGAACCTCGGTGTGAATCCAATTGTGCTAATGGCTCGGCAGCATGGCTCTAGCGCTCTGAGTGAAGCCTGGCTGGCAGACGCAGTAATGTGGCCGCTTTCTCTGTGAATTTACATTTCTAATGCGGCCTGCTAGACAAAATCAAGCCGGAGGAGCTTCCTCAGTGATCTGTAACTGCAAGAGGTTGTTTTTTGGAGCTCTGACAACTCGGTCAATGCTAGCGAGTCCTGACTAATGACACCGAGGGATCACTGTGACCCCCTCATAGACAAAAGCACCTCTTTCCACATGATTGGGTTGCTGAAGATCCACTGCTTCAAGTCGATCTGCTTGATAAGAGACGCCACATAGAGAAAAGAATGACTGCTGGGTTGAAAGTGCAAAATCAGAAAAGGAAAGAATTAACGGAGGAGTCTTTGTGTTTTGTTTTTCAACTTTATTTTATTCTTTCACAGCTTGACTTCTTTCTTCTTTTGGTATGTTTTACGATCAGCTCATTACCAGAGGAGAAAGAGATGTCTGGATGGTGTGGGAGAGGACAGGGGATGCAGGAAGGCTGAGCCGGAGGTGACATGGACAGAAAACAGGAGGGACAAATAAAGAGGGCAACGGGGCATCAGAGGGTGGAGTCAGAGACAGAAGGAGATGAGGGTCTTTCTCTTTAGAGATCTACTTTATCGTTTAAAATGTGTCGGTTTGTTCCTGCAGGCATGTTTTTTTAATATCTACACATAAAGAGAAACGAGAACAGTTTGTATAAAAAGGATAAAACAAATGGCGTGAATGCTGCTACGGGGCATCGGAGGGGTCGGCGGTTTGCACGCCGCGGCGTACTTCAGCGCAGCATCGGCGAAGACGGCGGCGGGAGAGAGGAGGTTCAGGCGAGGAGCGTTTTCGTAGCAGGAATCTGGGTTTTTAGTCTCAGATGAGGCGGGAGGTGAGGCGAGGCTTCAGTTCTGGCGAAGGGATGTGGGGCGGTGCTCGGGAGGTGATCCGTCAGAGCCACAGCTGACGGTTCATTCTTTCACAAGGGCAGCAAATTCTGAAAGACCACAAATGAAAGAACAGATGTCAGGTCGGTGGAGGTGTTTGTTCGTCCACACTTTGCAGCATTTCAAGTCTAAAGTGTGTCTAAGGAGTGAAAACGCTCCGCGGTAGCCTATACACCGTAGGAGTAAAACGTGAAGTCAGAGAGAGAATCTGAAGTCAAGGGGGGAGCCTTCAACTCTTCAGCACCTCAGATTTAAATCACATTTCACCATTTTGTGAGATTTAGCGTATAAAACGAATCCGTCGGTGGGCCGGGCGGGTCACCCACGGACGGCTATAATCCTCCAGGTAGCAGCTGGATTCCAGCCAGCATGTCATCCTCCACTCTCCTCCCCACGTTTCTCTGTCTGTCTTCACTATCAACTATCATTTAAGGTGGAAACGCCCAAAAAATATCTTTAAAAAGAATCCCGGCATGCGTCTAGTGAGTTACGTCAAACAGCTGAACTGTGGACTGTGTTTTGAAGGGAAGCTATTTTCTGTCAGAACACATTTATTCAGGATGAATCTCAAACACGTTTCTATACATAAAGACTAAAGGAAGCACGTCTACAATCTAGTGGCTCTGTTTTATTATAGGGGGCCTGACATGGTTTGGGTCCCGTTAGAGGGACAAAGCTGTGGAGCGATCGCCTTCGTCCTACGATGAAGCATTTCTGTCCCAGTCGGGGTGGACTGGGGGGACGGTGGGACTCCCTCTAATGGAGCTGGATGTTGCCGGTGTGTTTACCGTCGACTCCAATCTTGCCGTCTCCATCCTTGTCGGCTGCTTTTAAAAATGCTTTGGTTTCTTTGTCTGTCAGGTCCCTGCCATCTTTGGCAAAACCTTTCAGGACGAATCTAAAGGAAGCAGAGTAGACTGGATTAGCAAGAAGGCCGTTTGTTCTGCGTGTATCATTGCTGCATTTTTAGGCTTTTATGAGTGTTTGTCTCACTTGAGCTCTTCTTCCTCTATGAAGCCGCTGTTGTCGGCGTCCAGCACCGTGAAGACCTTCTTCACATCATCAGAGGACCTGGACTTCAGACCCACCATCTCGAAAAACTTCTTATGATCAAAAGAGTCAGCAACTGCACAAACGGTCAAGCAAAGATCCACAACATTAGCACGAAAATTCAGTCAAAAGCTTGCATCAACTTTGAGATTTAAACGATGATGCTGCGACTTGCTCCCGACAAAGCTTTTGAATTTGGTACTGCATCTCTAATTAGCTTCTTCTCCATGGCAACAGAGGGTGACGTCACATGAAGCTCACGGCTGGAGCAGTGGGATGAGCAGGTACTTAAACATTCTGCAGATTTTTCCAATTACATCTATTTTTCCACTTCAGTGTAATTTGTAGAATGGGACTGACACCCAGCCAAAGCCTCACCACGCTCTGCAGCCTGAAGCTCACTGATTCTCCACAAAAACCAGATCACGCTGTGGGCCAGAGCAGAGTGAAGGTTCTACATGAGAACCTGTGGTCTGTCACTGGCCAGAGCTTTACCTGCAAATGCATCTAGAGCTTTCTTGATGTCATCAGCGTTGAGGATGCTGCTCATTGCCATCTTGGCTGTTGGAGGAGATGGTTGGAAAGAAGAGTCATGGAGAGAGAGAGAAGAGAAGAACAGAGACAAGGGACAAGGTTAGAAACAAGGTCGCTGGAGAGCAGAGAGAGAACTCGGAGACGTTCTCATATTACACCGGTGACACTCTAGAAATGGAGCAGGAGGAAATCAGGACATGTGAGGAGGAGGTGATGAGTGACAGAGTGAATTAGTGCCAGTTAGGGAGGAGAAGAGACAGAAGCTAGAGGAGTGAGGAGAGGAGCGAGGAGAGGAGTGAAGAGAGGAGTGAGGAGAGGAGTGAGGAGAGGAGCGAGGAGAGGAGTGAGGGGTCGAGAACAATTTGATCTGTGTGCTATCAAGGAGCTGTTGGGAATAAAAGCAGGGCACAGGGAGGGTCAACAGGCCCTCTGAGGCTTCTGCTGTGTCTGAAATACCACAAGAGAATTCAGTTTGTCAGCCCAGTCCAGACGGAGAAGCTTCTTGTGCCTCACGCTATGAAAGGCGAAGCCGGCGCTTAACGGCGCTCTGGCTTTCTGCTCCGAGTGTGACCGAACCTGATCGCTGCCTGTGAAGTTGTCGCCTTCCCCTGACTTTGACTGATGCCCTTTATTCCTCTGCTGATATCACAGACGCACTCGATGAGCTCCTCGGAGGCAGGAGGCAGCGTGGACAGCGGGTCGGGTTTGGCTCAGCGGCTAACCCTGATGATGGCAGGACGTGAGTGACGTGTGGATCAGAGGAAGCAGTGCTCTGGTTTCAGGTGTGTTCAAACCTTAGCAGGGAGACATATGGATGCTTCACTGACAGTTCACACAGACGTCTCGTCTTTGACCTGAACGCTCTCATATGTGTGCGATTCGCCAGGAGACGGAGCTGTTCAGTGTCAACCATCCTCGTGTCATGTTTCAGATGAACTCTCAGCTGTTCTTACATTCAACTCAAGCCAGAAGAACAAATGTGGTCTGAAACATTGTGACTTCACCCAGTGAACATTTCAGTGAACCCTGTGATGCGCTCACTGGGGATCAGGAGCTGTTCACGTTTCTGTGTTCAGGTACAAAGTCGACGCCAACAAATGTAGGAAGAAATGAAGTGACTGGTGTCACCGTCATCCT